GGAATGAGACTTGATTGCATGTTAATAATCCTTTTTGCTCTCAATCAGCCAGTGAAAATCTACCCATTGGGCCATCTTGAGAGTTCCATGTCATCATGGCCTTCTGCGAGTGGTTCTAATGAATGCCGAGAGGTGCTCCTTTAGCCATTTGATGCTTGGGGTTGTGGTGGCTTGTCTCTAAAGTAGTTGTACGGATGAAGCTTCCGTTCAGCATGTCCATTTATGAGGACCGGGCACCGTGAGGGGCGTTGTCTTTTCCATCATTCCATTATTCCAAGCTCCTGCTCAGACCCGCAGCAGCAAGACTGAGCTTGAAAACTTGAGATCCTGAGCGCCCTCCACCCACCTTCCCCCTCCCTCTCTTGTGTACTTAACAGCTACCCAAGAACATTCTGGCACTGGCAATTGGATGTTAGCTTTGCAGAAGCTTTCGATGGGGGGGGGGAGAGGGGACACTTGCAAAGCCATCACCTCCCCTTAGAGGAGGAACACCCCCACCCCCGAGCACCCCCACTCTGCAAGTCTCTGTGATTATTCTATTTATGTAGGGAAAGTTGGGGCGGGGTGGGGGGGTTGGCATAGGGAAAGGAGGCAGCAGCCTCTGAAAATGAGGGAATGTCTGGCCTTCAGAATGCTCCCCATAATTTTTCCTGTCACTGTCAGCGATACAGAGGTAGCTTCAGCTTTCTACGGGAGCCTGGTCCTGAGCCCAAGATGCGGCACAACCTGGAGTGGGGAAGGTGCCCTTACCGTTCGTGTAGTTTTCCAGAAATACGTTCCCGCCGAGCTAAGAATCCAGGAACAATCCCTTAGAGAGAGAGAGAGAGAGAGAGGGAACAAAGGCATGTCTGGAGCGGAGGGAAGGTGAAAGGTAATTCCATAGGCAGTACAGTGATTTTAATTAAATATTAGCTGTAATTAGCCTGAAGTGCAAATGTTGGGAATATTAATTAGGGTCTCCCTGGGGCGGCTGTCGGGGTGAATAAAGTAACCGTAGGAGGCCTCCCACCAACATCTGTTGGGGAGTTCCAGGTGTGGGTTGCATTCTAGAAGAGTCCAGCCCCACCCTGCCCCATGTGCCTGGGAAAGGTTGGCTAGCTACTGCTCTGGCTTCCAGTGCTTGACTTCTGAGAGCCAGCTCAGCGCCCTGTGTCTGTCTGGACGGCTTTTGGCTTTGGTTAGAACAAGGAGGTTTGCTCTGGCTCCGGTGATGCACTTACGTCCCAGGGGCTTCTACTAGAGAAGAGCCTGAAGCCTGGCTTCAGAGCTGACACACGTTTTCCATGCCCCTGTGTCAATCACCTTTCAAGGGCCCACCCCTGCGACCACCAGCCAAGCAGAATCGCCAACATCTATCCAAGTCAGCTACCCCACAAGTAAGAGATGTAAACCACCAATGTGGGGGCCTTGGGGCTGGGGGTGTGGGATGGAGAGGGGTTTGTTTCTCTGGAAAACAAGAAGCCACTGCCGCCCCTCTAGGTGCTACTTTGGCCAAAGGAGAGAGAAAGCAGGGTCTGAGTTTGACTCCTGGCTTCTCTTCGGAATGACCTGTATCTGTGGCTTTGCTTAGAAGCAGGATCCAGGGCAGGTGCGGAACGCCTTCCGCTGCTGCTGGGTGATGCGAGAGCAGAGGTCCAGCACGTACAGAGGAGGCATTGTAGACATCTGAGCTATTGTTGGGGAGGGGGTCGAGGGTCAAGGGTGACCCTTCCATGGGAGAGGACTGGCCTTCACACAGCGGCCATCACCAACCTGGCCTCCACCTTCCAGATGCCAGGAGCACTTCCTTCCCCAGTGTGTGCCAAAACCAAACATGTCCCCCACTCATCCCCGGCACCCCCTGGACAGCAGTACCCATGACAGTGCCCGTTACTCGGCTTGACTTCGGAGCGCCCTCTAGAAGCAGGGGCTGCCTTCCCCGGGAGAGCCTCGAAAGCCCGAGGCCCCGGGAACCTGTCTCTCGATGGGCTACGTTCTGCGAAGTGTGTAGCCTGTGCCCCTTCTAAGACAGAAAGCTCGCGGTGGAACGGAAAGCAAATTTCAGAGGCGATTCTGAGTCATTCTGTGCGGCAGCCTGAGCTCTGCCAGTCTGCAGAACCCAGCTGGGAGCCTTGGGGAAGGCAGCCTGCCCTCCCTTTCTGTCTCTTCCTGCTTCTCTGCAGCTTTGTATCCTGCGCTTATAGCTGATGTGTCCATATCTAACGCTGTTTTGCCAAAGACACCAATGAAACTTCTGCAGAGACTCCAGGGCTAAGTGGTAGAAACTTGTCTGGGCCACGGAGCCCTTCTGACAATGATCCATCTCTGTGTCCATAGACAACAAGTGAAAACGTCAACACGGCTGTGTCTCGATAAAACTTTATTCACCAAAACAAGCAGAGGGCCAGATTAGCCCCATCAACCATTCACCAATCCTTCTCTGGCTCCTCCTACTATGTCCCCTGCTGCCAACTTAAACCTTTTAGGGAACCCAGACTTCATTTTTTTTAAAGCGTATAATTAGTCAATGCGCATAATTGTCACTTTGCATCAAGGCCTGCTGCTGGGGCTGGGGAATGCCATGGTGAATGTGACCTCCTCCTCCTCCTCCTCCCCCCCCCTCCTCTCTGTCTTCCTCCTCCTCCTCCTCCTCCTCTTCCTTGTGTGGCAGGAACACCCAGGCAAACAGCAGGCCAGAGTGCCAGCTGTGTGGAGGAAGGAGCTTTTGATTGGGACTCTGGATAAAGAAGGGTTTTCCAGACAAGGGAGAGGCAGAGCATTCAAATAGAGAGGGTCAGATGTGGCTACATCTCCAATAGAATGTACTTGGATCTAAGCAGGGTCCCAGCTGCACCCCACAAACACACAGGACAATTCTATTCTTTCTAGGATGTCTCCACAGTGACAGCAGCAGCGTGGACAGATCCTCCACTGTGCCCAGGGCTGCAGGAAATGGGAGGGAGGGAGGGAGGGAGGAAGGGAAGTAGGAAAAGGAAGAAAGGAAGGAAGAGAAGGAGGGGAAGGAAGGAAGGAGAGAAGGAGGGAGGGAGGAAGGAAGAGAAGGAGGGAAAAGAGGAAGGGAAGGAGGAAAAGGAAGGAAGGAAAGAAGGGAAGGGAGGGAAGGAAGTCGGGTAAGGAAGGAAGGAAGAGAAGGAGAGGGAGGAAGGAGAGAAGGAAGGAGGGGAGGAGGGAGGAAATGAGAGAAATGGAGAAAGAAAGGAGGAGAGAAGGAAGGAAGAGAAGGAAGGAAAGGAAGAAAAAGGGGAAGGAGCCGGGCCCCAGTGGCTCATGCCTGTCATCCTAGCTACTCAAGAGGCTGAGATCTGAGGATCCCGGTTCAAAGCCAGCCCAGGCAGGAAAGTCCATGAAACTCTTATCTCCAATAAACCACCAGAAAACCAGAAGTGGCGCTGTGGCTCAAGTGGTAGAGCGCTCGCCTTGAGCTGAACAGCTGAGGGACAGCGCCCAGGCCCAGAGTTCAAGACCCACAACTGACAAAAAAAAAGTGGGGGAGAGGAAAGAAAGAGGGAAAGGAAGGAAGGAAGAGAAGGAGAAAGGAGGGAAGGGAAAGACAGGAAGGGAGAGAGGAAAAGGAAGGAAGGAGGGAAGGAAGAAAAGAAAGAAAGAAGGGAAGGAGTAGACCCTTTGATGGAAGTCCAATGGCATAGATTGGGACAAATTAGTCTGGAGGAGGAAGTAGAAAGGAAGGAATGTTTTTCCACTTGTGAGAAGGTTTAAAACCCATCTCAAGCTCGTTCTCTTCCAAGAGTCATCTTTAACCTTCCAATGCAAGGTCCTCTCTACACAAATGTGTAAAACCCTGGGTGGCAGGGTGTGGGGTGCGGGGCTGAGAACCTCTCCCCTCCCCCATCCTCAGCACGTCTGGGTTGAATTCAGGTTGCATTAGCAGTGTCAGTGGTAGGTGGCGAGGAAATGCCAGCTCACCTGACATTTTTGGCCCGAGTCATTAGGGAAGGACTAAAGTCGCATCTCATTGACCGCGGACAGTGGAAAAACCTGGTGTTGGGTGGCTCTAATTGCTAAGCCGTTTGATTTCTCTCTGTATATCTCCGTCTCTGTCTCTCTCCCCTTCTTCCGCCCCTCCTCTTTCTGACTGTACAGTGGCATCTTTGGAGAGCATGGAAAATTTGAACCTCTAGGCTGCTGTTTTGCATGCGGGTGTGTGAAGGGTGGGGGAGGAGTTACTGGGGTGGAGGTGGAAGGAGAGAGGGAGATGCTTCTAGAAATGGAAACATGAGTTCAGTTTTGTTGTGTTTTTCTTTTAAATTCTTTTGACTTGACTGTAATTATCATACGGCATGTTTAGGCTATAACTGAAGGATGAATTGTTACATAATACCCTTTAATTTAAAAAAAAAGGTAAAATTAGAGTTGGAGTGGGGGGGTGGGGGTGGGCAATGTTACCTAGGAGGGAGGGGGTCTGAATTCAGACTGGTATTTTACAGCTGAACGTGGAGAGATGGCCATCCAAGTGGGGTTCGCCACCTGACTCAATGAGATTTCCCCCCACTGGCTGATTTCTCCTGGCATTGGGTCACACTCACGTGCACGCACACGCGCACGCACACACACACACACATACACACACGCGCACACACACACACACACACCCCACTCAGGGAGGCATTGCTTCCATCCGAATGCCCAGCCGCACGGCCTGCGCTCTGCAGCACCAGCTCCTTGGATTTCCTCTCCCTGGGCACTTGGAGCACCTGCAGAATCGCAGTCCCACGGTCACCCCCCCCCAAGATGGGACAGAGGGATGGGGTGACCTTCAGTCCCGGGACACAGGCCCTGGCCTTTTGCATGCGCACTCAGGGGGAAAGGGATTGGGGTGGAGTGGAGTGGGGGTGTTCTGGGCCTCCATCTCCACCTCTGTAGAATGGGGTGGCCTGGGGGGCCCCCCATCAAAGGATGGGAGGCTGGGAGACGTCCCCCTCCCGCAGAGGATTCTCATCAGACCAGACGTGCGCTCACGGCCCCGTGTCTCCTCCTGGCAGGGTAACCAGGACGCGGCGGCCGCCCCGGACACCATGGCTCAGCCTTACGCCTCGGCCCAGTTCGCTCCGCCACAGAACAGCATCCCAGCGGAATACACCGCCCCGCACCCGCACCCGCACCCCGCGCCGCCGGACTACACGGGCCAGACCACGGCCCCCGAGCACACGCTCAACCTGTACCCGCCCGCCCAGCCGCACCCCGAGCAGAGCGCCGACACCAGCGCGCAGACCGTGTCCGGGACCGCCACAGTAAGGGGGCGCTGGGGCTCGGGGCCCCCGCGGGGGGGGGGCAGTGGGCAGTGGGGGGGGTGCCAGCCACTCACTGGGCATCTGAGCAGGACGCAGTCCAGTATGGGGTGGGGGGGATCTCTTGGTGCCTGCCTGACCACACCAAACCTTCCCAAGGCACCACCTCTCCGGTGCCTACATAAATGGGTACAAGGAGACACGCATCTCCACATCTAGTTTGCTGGGGCCTACAAGTTGGTTTTCTCTCCAGTGTCACCCCAGTGGAATATTTTGCCTAATTTTATTTTATTTTATTGTTGGTCATGGGGCCTGAACTCTGGGCCTGGGCGCTGTCCCTCCCCTCTTCAGCTCAAGGCTAGCGCTCTACCACTTGAGCCATAGTTCCACTTCTGGCTTTTTCTGCTTATGTGGTGCTGAGGAATTGAACCCAGGGCCTCATGCATGTGAGGCAAGCGCTCTACCACTGAGCCACCTTGCCAGCCCTATTTGCAGAGACTCGTGGCAAGGGTGGAGTGGGGGAGAGATTTGTTGCCATTGGGACACTTGTTTTAAAGTTGTCTTTCAGGGGTAGAATTTAGCTAAGCACAAAACCCACCTGTTTTTATGCACACGGTCAGCTGCCTTTTAGAACACTGACAATGTCATGCAACCATTACTCGGAGTCTGACTTAAGGAACGCTCCCAACATCTTTGGATGTATCTCATAGCTGGGTGTTGGTGGCTCACCCTGGTGAGCTTAGCTACTCAGGAGGCTGAGATCTGCAGGAGTGCAATTCAAAGTCACCCCTGCACAGCAAAGTGTGCCGGCACCCCATCTCCAGTCAACTAGGAGAGCCAGGAAGCGGTACAAAATTTCAAGGCCTGGAATTTGAGCACTGATGAAAGAGGGAGAGGGAGAGGGAGAGGAGGAAAGGGAAAGGGAGAGGGAAAGAAAAAGAGAGAAAAAAAGAATGAGAAAAAAAGAGAGAATATTATGCCCAGTTCCACCCCACTGAAGACCTAGAGGAAAGAAAGCTTAGGAAGGGTAGAACAGGCAAAACAGAAAAGAAGAAAGGCAACTTTTGTCGCTTTATTGATGTACGGCAGTGTGTACCATTCCATTAGACTTTCATATATGAATGCATGCACAGAGCTATCACCCATTAAGATAATAGCAAAAAAAAAAAATCTCCATCGCTTCCAAAATGTTCTTCGGCACCTTGACCTGCTCCTGTCACTTTAAACTTAGTTTGGCTGTTGCTAGAGTTTTATTGCGATGAAAAAATAAGACATTCTGTGCTCTTTGGTCTGTTTTCTATTACTCTGCATCATTATCTTTAGATTCATCCATATTGTTTTATGTCTTGGTCGTTCACGCCTTTCCATGTCTGAGTATTAGCCCATTACATGAAGGTGCCAAGATTTGTTTCTCCATTTATCTGTGTATGAGTATTAGGGAAATGTGAAGATCATAAATGAGACCGTCTTGTTTCCTTCCAGAAATGATGACATACTTATGCTTATTTCTCTTGTGCCAAAAACAAAACAAAAAAGGCAAAGGCTTTCCTTTCTTTGATCTCCTTTTGAGTCTTTCTTCCTTGATCTGAAGCTTGGCTGGGGCTCTTTCATTTGAGATTGCCTCCACCTCCCTAGACAAGGACCCCAAGTCCTGCATGTCATGGGGGAAGGAATGGAACTTCAAGGTGGGTTCCTTGGGTGGCTTCCCCAATCTTGGACACAAGGCCATATTTTAACATAAAATGTTAAAATCAATCCGGGCGCCAGTGGCTCATGCCTGTCATCCTAGCTATTCAGGAGGCTGAGATCTGAGGATCACAGTTCAAAGCCAGCCTGGTCAGGAAAGTCCCTGAGACTCTTATGTCCAATAAACCACTAGAAAACCGGAAGTGGCGCTGTGGCTCAAGTGGTAGAGCGCTTGCCTTGAGCTGAAGAGCTGAGGGACAGCACCCAGGCCCAGAGTTCAAGCCCCATGACCCCCTCCCCCCAAAAAAAGTTAAAGTCAGGCTGGGAGCGGACAAAGTGGTAGAGTGCATGCTTAACATTCGTGAAGCCCTGGGCTCCATCCTCGACACCACATCCATACATGGTGGAGAAGAGATCTACCATTCCCTCGAAGGTAGTGTTAGTCCTGGAATAACCCTGTCCCTTGGCACAAATAGATATCCGTGGTGTTTAATGCCATCTGAAGGACACTGCAGGGCCCTCCATTCTTGGAGAAAGTGGGTAGTTTGGGAGGGGGGAGTAAGAGAAACCCATCCATCCATCCATCTGGTGCATTCTCAGAGCATCTAAAATATGCACATGACTTCTCAGAAAGTGCACAGTCTGTTCAGGGAAGCAGCAGTAGGCACCCTGAGCTCCCAGCCACTGGAACGAAGGGAAGTACAGTAGAGAAGACTCTCGGGGTCCCCCTTATTCCCCTTGTACCTCTCCAGGGGCTCAGACATTCCTTAACGGCCGAGTTTTCTGCTGAATTCCCATTTAATGTAGGCCTCCTAAGACATCCTGGATGCCTGTCCCCACAGAGCTGAGGCCCTTTGATACCAGAGACTGCTCCTGATGAGGTATTCGCCTCTTGCCTCGTGATAACGAGAGATTTGCCGGTGGAGAATTCTCTGTGTATCTCCAATAGCAACTTGACTTCTATTTTTAACACCAGTGCAGTCTTGTTTCAGTCTCCCACACGCTCCCAGTCTCTCTGAACCCCAATGGGAAAAAGAATGTGGATCTTGAGGCTCCGTCTCTGCTGACAGAGAGAAAATGTGTCTCAGGGACCTCAGCTGCCACCAGTCAAAGTGTCTGCCACATCTCCGTATTTCACTGGTGCCTTTACCAGACGGAATTGGTTGATGATGGGGTCTGGTTCTTCATCCTCCATACATTGGCTTCAGTTCTGAAGCCTATAAGATTGTTGAAGCATGGGGAATGTGCTCAAAAAGTTTGGGGTTAAAATAGATGTTATTATTGAAGTAATTCACAATGGTCGTTAAGAAAGTTAAACATTAGCCAGACATCAGTGGCTCAAGCTTATAATCCTAGCTGCTTGGGAGGCTGAAATCTGAAGATCTTGGTTCAAAGCCAGCCGTGGCAGACAAATCTATGAGACTCTTATCTCCAATTAATCAGCAAAAAGCAAGAAGTGGAGATGTAACTCAAGTGATAGAGCACCAAATCTGAGTGGAAACTCTAAGGGAAAACATAAATACCCCAAGTATATATTCTCTCTCTCTCTCTCTCTCTCTCTCTCTCCTCTCTTTCTCCTCTCTTTCTCCTCTCTCTCCTCTCTCTCCCTCTCCAAAATGAAAACAAAAATTCTCTAATACCCATAAACCCAACTCCTTAAGTCTGTTTTCCAGAAAATTAAAATATAGATACTGTTTCCTTTTCCCTTTTCTTTCCTTCCAGAATCATGTGATGCATCTGCAAGTGTATATCTGCTTGTCTTATCCCCATCTTGATCTCTGGCCCTATAACCTTTCTCTAACTCAGTCTTCACTTCCTCTAACCACTTCCTTGGTCCATTCTCAAAATCTTAGCATTGAAATCTACTGATCATGGGCTTTTTGAACTCTTAAGTGAGGAATCTCTCTCTGTCTGCCTTTGGGATCCAACTCCTTGCTTACACGCCTGTGTATAGTCGTGCTGAAGGAATTACATAATTTCTGGGATTCATCTTGTAATTCTAAGTCAGGCCAAACAGAAAAGGCTAGGTACAAACACTGCCAGCAAGCTCTGCATGTCTCTGCCTGTGAATGTTTAAAAAGAACATGAACTTACAAGATACACATCAATCACCTACCTCACAGAGCATGCACGCATTTGAATCTAGAAAAGCTTCTTGCCTATCAGAGTGTACCAGCCACGAGCAGGCCCTCAACCCATAAACCACCCTGTAGGTGTGTACTTAATGGTGACTGACCTGCTCTCTCATGAAACAAAATACCTGGAATCTTAGCTACTCAGTAGGCTGAGATCTGAAGATCGCAGTTCAAAACCAGCCCGGATAGGAAAGTCCATGAGATCCTTATCTCCAGTTAACCAACAGAAACCTGGATGTGGTACCATGGCTCAAAGTGGTAGAGTGCTAGCCTTGAGCTCAGGGACAGCACCAGGCGCCAAGTCCAAGCCCTAGAGATGGAAGGGAGCGGGGAGTTGTGTGTTGTATACTCACAATTGGAGACCAACAAACACTGAGAGGCTATGTTGGATATTCTTCCCACTTCCATCCTATTTCACCCTGATATGAGATCTTTTCAAGGACACAGCAGATGAGGATATTGTTAAGTTCAGGAAGGACCTACCTGAGCTGCTCACTCAGGAATGCCGAATGCCAGAACCTTCCTCTTTCTCCAAAATGTGTCTCTCCTGGAAGTTTTTGGGGCCAGCACGTAGATGATCAGTACCTAAGCACATGAAATCCAGGATCTCATGCAAGTGCATGCCCAGAATCCAGAGATTTAGAAAGCAGGAGATATGAGGATCATGGTTTGAGGCTGGGCCTAAACTCCCCTCAGCAAGACTGGAAGTCAGAAGACACATTGGGCACCATGGTACACACCTAATCCTAGGGAGATGGGAGGCAGAAGTTGGAAGATAGAGTGGTGAACCCATCCCTGGGCAAAAGTGTGACTCTAGATAGGTTTGTCAGGATCTGTCCCTCTGTCTCTGCTGGATGGACCCATCTGTTCATTCTCCCCATCTTCTCCATGGCCTTTCCCCAGACCCTCTTCTTTTTTCCCCTTCTAATGAGCTCTCAGAGGATGGGTTCAAGAACATTGGAGACTTTCTTCACCTTGGTGGAAGGCATTTTAGCCACAAGAACTTGCACTTAAAAGGGGGGGGGATCGCAAAATAGAAGAATAACATGTCTCAAGACAAGGGCACTGGACCTGTCAAAAGAGGACACAGGGAAGAGTAGCCTGAAACATAACCTCTGCTCAGCAAATGCAAGATGGTGTCCTAGGTCGTCTGGGTATGCCTCTCCACTCATACTAAGTTTT